ACGAAAATAATCTTGTTTGTGGCAATGCCAACATCAGGAGATTTTTGTTCCTATTCTATGTCAATGGCGGGATTGTGCTACAGATGTGGCGCCAAGAGTCTCCCAGGCAAGCTCCCTCCTTGTTGTTTATGACATAACATAATAATGGGTGGTAAGATGGCAGACTTCTTGTACATCTTTTGAATTTATGCACGCGTCAATGATATTTTAATTACAATAAAATTAGAAAGATGCAAATAGTCCTTACGACATGAACTACATTTTGTGGTAGTATGAAAGAAATAACAAATTAAGCCATGTTTGGGCTCCATTTTAATTTTAATACATTTTTCTCCGTCTTTTTTTTTTCAACTACACATTTTAAAACATTAAAATGGAGTCCAAATAAGGGCTAAATAGGATATTCTCAATTGTAGTATTTGGTCTTGACCATGTTTACCTTCTAGGCTAGGTCGTCTGTTGAGAACATTACAAGTGCGCGATAGCGAAACAGTAACATATTCACGAAGATCATTCGATTTATTGATTACTGAAATTGTACTAATCCTACTTTATTTGACAAATCAGGTTTCTAAATGATTATGATCTGCTAAAGTGAACTTAATAACAAAACAAATATTTAAACTAATTGTGACGATAAAATGTGATGAGCTGAAACTTTAAAGTGTTTCCAAGAATTTACCCTAGCTTATACAATTTAAATTCAGTTGTTGATTTTGACCAATTTTCGTTCATGTTGAAGGTTGGGATTCTGCAATATTACTTGAGGATCTTTCTTGAGTAAAATCTAACCTATTCTAAAGTGTAAAACAACCACCTCTATAGTAAACTTCTATCTAGGGGTGTAAGAACTTCGAAGCTTGAGCTCAACTCGAGTAAAAATGGTTTGGGCTTATTTTTGGGTTAGAACCATCGTTCGGCCAAAAAAATTTAGGCTCGACTCGAGCTTTTGGCTCGAGCCTTAGTGAGTGAGCCAGCTCGATTATTTATTTATTTATTATTAATAATAATATAAATAGTTTCGCTCTGCCAAAAAATTTAGGCTCGAGCCTTAGCGAGCTGAGCCAGCTCGATTATTTATTTATTTATTATTAATATAAATAGTATGGTTGAAGGCAGCTGTAATTTTAGCTGCATGCGTTTTTATTTATTATTATTTTTTAAAGTTTTGAAAATTACAAATTTTTTTTAGGCTCGGCTCGTCACGTCACGGGCCTAGCGTCATTTTGCTCGGCCAGAGCCTGCCTCGGCTTGGTCCCATTGAGTTACGAGTCGACTCGGCTCTGGCTTTTCCCAAGTTGAGCCGCGGACTGTCAGAGCCGATGAGCCATATTGACATCCCTTGTTCTACCAAAGTAATGATTTTTATTGCTAGGCGTGCAATTTACCTCCTCGTCTAAAAATCCTTACAAACTATTCATAGACTGGCCAAAAAAATATGAATGTCAAACAAATCAACAACAGGATTGGCCAAAAATATGGATGTAAAACGAACAACAAAAACGATCACACAACTTTCTTAAAAATGGTTGTTCGACCATCAATTGCCGGAAGTATACTTCAAATTTTTGGCCATATATTTTCGACTCGAGTCGCGATTCCATATATTTCAAATTCTAGGACCTACTTAGGCACACGACTCGAGGCTCTTAGTTGAATAAATGCAAAATGGATACATTTACAAAGGTCTCATTGCATTCTTTGTAACGCACTAAGAGTATTTCTAAAAGACTCTTTAAATACAAAATGTTTTTCATTTTAAAAAGTCAATACTTAAAAATGAGTTCCAAAAGACTATATTTTACTTTTTTTTAAAATAAAGAGTGGATTTTGCTCTCTAAATTGAGCTCTAAGCAATGTTCTAAAAGACTAATACATGGCGATGCGTGAAGGCAAGGTATGAGCTAGGCGATGAATAGGCATAATCGGCCTTTTTTTTTAAATTTTATTTTAATTTTATTTTAATTTTTAATCAATCAAAAAATCATGTAATAATTAAAAATTGTACCTACCAAATATTTAAAACAGATTTATAGGAATTTTATACATTTTTTTCAAAAGTTTCCAACAAAAAGATAATTCTCAAATGTAAATCAACTTTTAAGTTTAATAATTGTAAAAATATTTAAAAACAAAAAAGACAATAAGCGCGCATTAACGGTTGCCGTTGACCGCTAAATAACACAGTTTCTGCCATGCATCGCGCCTAAGCGCACCTTTTAGAATACTAGCTCTAAGAGACTTTATCTTAATTTTTTAAAATAAATAGTGGGTTGGCTCTCCAAATTTAGAGAGCCAAACTCAATCTATATTCTTAATTTATAATTATTGCATTCAATAAATTATATATTTCAATACTTTACTTCTTAAACTATTCAAATCATATTTAAATTGATTGATCAATTGACATATAAAAATTTATGTTAAATAAAATATGAAGAGAAATTAAATAAGTCATAAATGCCATGGTTTCTTTGCCTTTTCAGGATAATATTTTAAAGGATAAAGCTACTTGTACATAATTTCTTGTGGTCCCAAACTTTTTATTTTATTGCAGATTACA